AATCTCAAAAACTATGCATTGCACTTTGTGCAGATTTTGCCTACATCGTCTAAAATTTGCATGTAAATTTATTTTTACTTGCTTTGATGGGACCCCGACGGGTCTTTAATAAAATAATTGAATTGAATTGAATTGAATTGAGCTGACACCAAGCCTTTTCGACATCGCCGGAGAGAGTGGATGCCCAGTCGATAGGACTAAGATCCTTTTTCATCTGTTCGAAATCGCCGCGCCAAAAATTAGGTCGGGAATCGAGAGGTTGTGCAGGCAGGGAGAATAAGGTGTATTCCCACATGAGAACTACATGCTCACTCTGACCCAACGGGGGGAGGCAATTTACAACGTCGATGTTGTCGGACGACTTGGTGAACACAAGATCAAGGCAGTTCATTTGTTGGCCCTCTTGAATTCTCTTTGGAAACATTACGCGTTGGGTGAGAAGCAGGTTGTCGGAGGTACGCAGTAGCTGCTGGTCAAATGCTGCTTCAGAGCAGTCGGCTGAGGCTGAGCTCCAGTTTATGTGAGGTGCATTAAAATCTCCAACAATGAGAGTAGTCGGCCGCGTTGAAAATAACCGAAGCTCCTCCAGCAGTTGGGCATCTGCGTCAGGGTCATTTCTCGGGGGGCGATATAATGTAAAGATATCGAGACTTTGAGAGCCCAGAGCCCTTACTGTCAGCCATACTGCTTCGGTACTACAAGTCACTAGGGCAGTTTTTTCTGAAACCTGCAAGCCATTCCTAACAAGTGTAACTATGCCTCCGCCCCTTCCGTTTTCTCTGTCTCGGCGGAGCAGTTGAAATCCAAGGAGCATGAGTTCCCTATCATCAACCTGTTTGGGCAACCATGTTTCGGTTATTGAGATTACGTCTGGATGGAGGTCATAGGTATGGATACGGAGTTCGTCCAGTTTTGAAAGTACACTTTGCGCGTTGGTATACATGAATATGAGTTTCGAGCTCATGCGAGATTTGTTTTCAACCTCGACAAGGGCTACTGGGGTAGCTGTGCGGTCATTCGGATCGGCTTGATCCAGAGTGGAGCGGAATGTCGCTTGACAATCCGGTCTTTGTAGATTGTCAAGTTTTCTTCTCCGTTGGTTTGCCGTGTTCTTAATTTTAGGACAAGTTCGCGGCGTTTCATTCTCTCGGCAGGTGAGTAGTCCGGCTGCAAAAAACACTCCATTATGGGAATGCTTCAATCGAAAACGCCTGGAAAGGATTAGTTTCGCCTGCTCATTGCTACCTAGGACGATTTTTAGGGGTCGTGGTCGCGTCTGCCGAACGAAATTTGTACGGCTACCAAGACGAAACGCCTTTAGGACTGTGACATCTTCTGTTGGTTGCAGCATTTCATTTAGGAGTTTCTGGAATTGCTCTAAGTCAGCAGCGACTCGTCCCCTGCGGGTACTGGCGGAGGACTCTGGGAGACCCTGAATTATGATGCAGTGGTCCTTGTTAAGCATTCCTCTGTTTTCTGCGATTTGAACGTCGTCGACTGGCCAAATGGCCTCGTCGAAGTGGGTTGGAGAAGATGAGGGGGCTGCCATATTGGCATTTATGTCCCCGTGATGTTCGTCCGCAGATTCTGTTGAGGCATCGTGAATAGTTACACACCGTGATCGATCAACAATGCCTCCCATCAGAGGGCTCTGTGGCGAGCTTGACCCCCCCCCCCGAGTTAGGGGCTTCCTCAGCTAGGTTCTCAACTCTGTTGACATGGGAATTCGCGGTGGCAGCCAATTCCACTCTGGGTCCATAGCCATATGTTTTTGCGCTAACTGATAATCCCTCCAAGTTAGGCTCCGGAGATGAATAAACTGTTTGGGGATTATTAAGGTTGGGCGTCATCTGCCCCATTACTTCCATTTCTTCCGTTGGCACATTTACATTCGTTTCATCTTTCAACTGCTTTTCGGGCAAGGCAGATATACTCTCTGTCGTATTCTGGCGACTTTTTCCCGTGGTGTTAAGTGTCGTCGTCTTCTTCTTCTTCATTTTTTCATCGGAAGCCACTACTTAAATAAATAAATTTTAATTTAATGCCAGTTTACAGGCATTGTCAAGGGAAGCGATTAAAGACAAATCCGACCGGCAGTGAAAAAAAAAACTCCTGAGCTTAAGGCATAAAAATATAGTTGATGGTGGTTTTTGTGGTTTGG